GCTGCCAGCGCTTTGGTGGGAGCTCCAGGGGAAGCAGCAGATGGGCTGAAGCTCCTGGAGCCTTGGGCCATTTGCTGCCATCACCCCAAAGCAGCCCCTGGCAGTCCTTCACTCAGGGAGATGGGATTTGGTGATGAGCTCATCCTTGGGGACTAACCTGGGAAACCTTCTCCTCTGGAGTCTCAGCCAGCAGAGACTTTGGGTCCTGTCCTGGCCATCTCAAACACTGTGGTGATGTCTAATGCTCTCTCTGTGTCCCCAGGACTGGAAACTTCACCTACCGTATCCCTGTCAACCAGCTCACAGCTGTGAACACCAACCTGACTCTGGAGATGAAGTGAGTGGACAGGGCTCATCTCTTAGATGTTTTGGGACCTCTGAAGTTGGCTGGACAGTGTGTGTCCTGATTTTGCTAGGACAGAGCTGATGTTCTTCTTAGCAGCTAGAACAGCGCTGGGTTTTGGGGTCAGTGTGGGATTTATTATGAGAAGAATGTTGGTAACTTACCGATGTTTTCAGTTGTCACTGGAAGTCAAAGGACTTCATGTTTTGCTGGTCTGCAGGTGCACAGGACTAGTCAGGGGTGGGATATTAAAATTAGTAACCCAAATTGGTTACTAATTTTAATTACTAATTGGTTGGCTCTACCAATGGGATGTTCCACATCATCTCACATCATGTTTAGTATATTAATGAGGGATTATCTCGGGGATCACTTGGACTCTCGCTCTCCCAGGGTTGTGGTTTGGGTTTGGGACTGTCTGTGGTCTGGGATCACTGACTGGGACAGGCTGGGCATTGGTGGGCAGGTGGTGAGCAGTTGCACTGTGCAGCACTCATTTGTATATTCTATTATTACTGTCATTATGATAATTATTCTATTTGTTATTTTATTTCAATTATTAAATTGTTTTTTATCTCAACCCACGAGTTTTCTCACTTTTACCCCTCGGATTCTCTCCCCTGTCCCATTGTGGGAGGGTGAGCGAGCGGCTGCGTGGTGTTTGGCTGCAGGCTGGGTTAAACCCACCACACTTTGCCACATGGCCATGGTGTCTCCTGCCTGAGCTGGGGAAGAGGTGGCAGAGGCTGCTCCCTCCCAAGGTCTTACCATGTTTTGTCTCCCCAGTTCCTCCTCTGCTGTGTCCATCTCCCTTTGTGGCCTCATTTCCAGTGACCCTTGCCAGGAAGCTGCGAGCACCAACAGCTCCACCAATGCCACAGATGCACAGGTAGGGAAGGTACAGCTCCCAAAATCCACACACCTTGTGTCATTGCCTGTCCCTCTGGAAGGGATTACAGCAGCACAGGAGTTGCTGGAGGGAATTCATGCTCAGATGGCCACATTCTGCACTGGCTAATGTCAGTGATCAGAGGGCTGGAGCACCTCTCTGCTGAAGAAAGGTTGAGGGAGCTGGGCTTGTTGAGCTTGGAGAAGAGAAGGCTCCAGGGAGACATCACTGCACCTTCCAGTGCTTGAAGGAGGCTTAGAAACAGGAGGGAGATGGATTTTTTACCTGGGCAGAGAGTGACAGGACAAGGGGAAATGGTTTTAAACTGAGAGAGGGGAGATTTAGGTGAGATATTAGGAGGAAATTTTTCACCCAGAGGGTGGTGAGACACTGGCCCAGGTTACGTAGAGAAGCTGTGGCTGCTCCTCCCTGGAAGTGTTGGCGGCCAGGTTGGATGAGGCTTTGAGCAACCTGGTCTAGTGGAAGGTGTCCCTGCTGCTGGCAGGGGGGTTGGAACTGGATGAGCTTTAAGGTCCCTTCCAACCCAAACCATTCCATGATTCTATGAATGACCCTCAGAGGTGGACTTGGCAATGTTGGATTTCCAGTGGGACTCCATGAGCTTACAGATCTTTTCCAACCAAAACAATCCTGTGATTCTGTTCTGTTTTCTCCCCCAGGAAACAACCCACCGTTGGCCTCTCGTGATGTTGTCTTTCCGGGAGTTTACCTACCACTTCCGAGTAGCACAGCCTGTGAGTACCAGCGCCTGCTCTGGCTTTCCTCTTACCCAGGGCTGAGCAGCAGGAGAGCAATGGGACTGTGGCAGGTTTAGTGGCCTCACTGCATTGAGAACCTTCCACAGCCCTCTCCAGCGTGGCTGTTGCCTTCCACAGGGTTGCAGGGGTGTGATTTTTCTCTGCCCCAGCACATAATTCAGGCACAATTCCCCCCCTTGGAGCGTGTGTCACAGAATCCCAGAATGGTCTGGATTGGAAAAGCCCTTTAAGCTCATCAAGTCCAACCATGAACCCAACACTGACCAGTCCCCTATGACTAACCCATGTCCCTCAGCACTGTGTCTACACGACTCTTCAATCCCTCCAGGGATGGGGACTCCACCACTGCCCTGGGCAACCCCTTCCAATGCCTCAGAACCCTTGCAGCAAAGAAATTCTTCCTCACATCCCATCTCAACTGCCCTGGCCACAACTGGAGCCCATTTCCTCTTGTCCTATCACTTGGTCCTTGGTTGAACAGACCCACCCCCACCTCTCTCCACCCTCCTCCAAGGGACTTGGAGAGAACCAGGTCTCCCCTCAGCCTCCTTTTCTCCTCCCCCTCTCTCTAAGCTCTTTTTCTCGCTCTCCCGCAGGGCCGAGCCGACTGCAGCGCTGCCCCTGAGCACATGGGACACCTTTTCACTGACTATTATTTTCAGTTTTACTGGCTCTGTGAGTGAGTCCCAGCAGCCCCAGTGCCCTTTGGTTGGAGAGAGGAGGGGGACTGGTGGACACTGGAGAGACTCCTGTACACCCTCCTCCACTAGCCCCCAGCCCCACCTGACCCCCGTGTCCCGCGTGGGGTGTGGAGCTGGTTTGGTTGTGGCTGGTGACACAGGTACTGAAGCACATGCAGGACATAGGACCTAAGCCACAGAAACACAACCAGCCCTCTGGTATCTCCAGGACTCACCTTGCACCAACTCCCATCATCCCAACACCACCCCAAACGTTTCTCTTCTTCCCTTATGGGGACGCTTGTGTCCTCCATCACTTCTCCCTCCTCTTCCAACACTGGATTTGAAAGCAATTACACTGGATGGAATGTGGATGGATCCACCACATCCCCAGAGTACAGATGGGAGCTTCATCCTGTCCTGGCCAGGTGATCCCAGATGAACCACATCAGTTCTTCACCAACACTGGAATTGCTCAACACTGGAGCCCTTTCCAAGAGCGAAACGCTGGGGTTTGGCCCGGAAAGGAAAGGCTTTGTCTGGACGTACTGGAAGTCGTACACTGGAGTTGCTGTTCCTTCTAGTTGGCCCAGGGCCATTTCTTTGCAGCCTCACTCCACAGATTCCTGGAGACCCTCATGAACAGACTGTCCTCTGTGGACAACAAGAGAAGGTGCAGCTTCAACCTTAGCCCTGTCTGTCCCCTTCCTCGCTCTACTCTTTAACATTCACCAGCTCTGGATGGATAAACTCCAGAACCCCACAGAAGATGCTGCTGAGGCTGTGCCCAGGCCAAACCATCTGTGGGGACACTTGTCATCAACCCATGGGAGAACAATTACCCCGAGTCACCTGCATTAAGTGTCAAGGGACCCATTTTATTTCCATTTGGCAGCAGCACGTGGCCTCAGGCAGTGGGTACGGAGCTGCCTGCTCGGCTCTCGAGTCAGCACAGCCACCTCTGCCCAGATGTGGGGAAGAGAAACCCACTGGCAAAGCCTGGTGGGGCCCTGCAGAGCAAGGCTGAGTCGCTGGGGACGTGTGATGTGACTTCACTGCATCCCCCCCCCAAGGCCAAGGGATCTCTGCCAGGCGCTGGAGAGGCTGATCCTCTCCCAGAGCGTGGGGAATGGCAGCGACTGCGGGTCCTCGCTGTCACTGTGCTCAGAAAGCAGTTGTGTTGTGTGTATTTTGGGTATTTTACTGTTACAAGTTTCTTAACTTGCTAAAAACTACTGAAGGTTTTTATTTTTAATTTTTCTTTTTTTTTTTAAGCCTTATAAAAATGGGTCTTTTAATTCTGTCCCTATTGAGCGACGTGTGTCTCGCATAGGAAACCAAAGTGGGCAGCCACCCTTAAAGCGGTGCTGGGACATGTTAAACCAGCAAGCTCATCCTCCTCCCTGTCCTGCTCCAACACTTCTCACTACAAAGGAGACATCAGCGTTCCTGGAGGCTGAGCCACCACCAGGTTTTTATGGTTTAGATCCATTTCTCTAAGAAAGCAGCAGCTGGAGAAGGGTGGTGAGGGGGGAAAACGCCGCTCACCAGTCCTGAGACACGCTGTAAAGCAGAGAAGAACACACCTTGTCCTTCAAAGTCCCACCATTAGACACAGACAACTCAAACCAAAGTGGTTTGGGGAAACTGCATCATTTTTTTCATGCTTTCAGTGGAGACAGAGGCAGCAATCCTTCCCTTTGCCAGCTGCAGGTCGTGGTGTTACCAGCACTGAGGAGTGTGTGGCTGGCTCCGCTGCTCCCAAGAAACAAGCTGCAAAGATGGTTTTTAGCCAGATAGAGAGAGATGGTTCTTGTGAACGTCTCACCAGACCCTACGTGGCCTCTCTGCCCAGTCTGGGGAGCAGTTTTACCTCCTGCTACCCATCTCAGAAGTTCTTTTTTGAGCTTGTCCCAGCCATAGCCCTGTGATTCCTCGTGACATGGCTAGGAATTGGTGTCTCTGCCACCAAAAGACCTGGCTTTTTATTTGTAGGGTGGTTTCAAGGTCAAGTCTTCATTCCCACTGTGTGCCTACAGGCAGCAAACACTTAAAACTACCAGCAAGATCCTCTCCAGGGACTCAAATGTGCTGAATCCTGGGCAGGCAGGAAGCAGAGGGTGAGCAGGGGCTGTTGGGCAGCCAAGCAGGAGTGAAGCAAGGGGACCACCCTAAAAAAAAGCTGGAGGTACCTGTCACAGGTCAGCTCCATGCTCAGGAGGATTCTCCCTGGTTTTGGGAAGGAAACCCTCAGAGGGAGCTCTCTGGAGAGGCTGCTCAGCACTCTTTTTGCTTGTTTTTAAACTGGGAAGTTTTTATCTTGACAGTTTTTATTCTCCACTTGGCAATCAGTGGCCCAGTCTGGCGAGTCCTTATTCAGGTGAGTGAAGCCATTGTGCTCTTGGCCATCTGCTCAGCTGAGAGGTGGATTTCTCAGACCTGTTTTCTTTTGTTGAGCTGGGCTTAACACCTCTGAGCTCATTTAACCCCTGAAGAGGTAAGAGGGGTTGTTGTGAGGACCAGAGCTGTGAGGACCAGAACTGGAAGGACCACCTGCAATCATCACCACCAATATCCACCCCCTCGCTGGTGGCCCTGGCTGAGGTCAGCCAAGACCCCCCCCCAAACCCCAAATACATCTCACCCCACTGTGGGGAAAGCCATTCCTGGAGGGGAGGAATCCATCACTAGAAACATGGCCCAAGAGGAGATGGACTCTCTCAGGTGTCCCTGTGACACTTGGCCATGGGGTTTATGAGGAGTTGATGGGTTTATATCTAGAGAAACATCTCCAGTGCCTTTTTCTGCTCATAAGATTTCAGGAGGGGACAGTGGTTTCCCATTAAGTGCCTAAAAAGCTGGAGTGCCTCAAAAAAAAACCAAACCCAGGGGCTGGTTAGCTTCAGAAATGAGATGAGGCAACACCTGGAGTGCAAAGGCTGGGAAAGGGTGATCCCTGGTATTAAAAGATCCCTGGTATCAAAGGAGATATCAAAAGATCCCTGCTATCAAAAGAGAGGGATTCAGAATGCAGGTTTTAGTGTTTTATATCCCAAAAGTAGCTTTTGCCTTAAAAATATCTCACAAAGAGGACACCAGTTCCACCAGCCGCCGCGCAACGAGGCAGAAACGAGCTCAAAAAGATGGGGTGGTCGTTCTGAAAGGGTCACAGGATGGTTTCTGAGCTGCAGAAACAGCTCTTTGTATGGATTTAATTCCCCCACCCCCCCCCAACAAAAAAATGCTTCTTT